GAGGCTAAGCACTGTCACTGTGATCATTTGCAATCCATTGCAACAGAGCTGAAGATATCCCTGAGCTCAGGGATTCAGGCATACAACAAAATATACCCAAGAAAATCCTAGAACCCAAGAAAAATCCTAGGACAGAAGGAGCAAAAGAGGATGGCACTATAGCCATTCATTCAACTACTCTGAACCAGATTTAATCCAACAAAGATCTGACCACAGCAAGACAAAAAGCAACAGATGAGAATATTCTAAGGTGTGGGTGTTGGATAAGCATCTATCATGTCACATAGTTCAGAAAGGGAATTCAATACATAAAATTAGTTACAAAGATATTAGACAGACTTGAAAAAATCAAAATGTGGGTGGTGAAGCAACCCAGACATTAGCAAAAGCCACCACCACTCCTGGAGATGAAGGGATAGAGAAAGGAGGTGGTTCTATCACTAGCATCAGCCATTCTACAAGAACTTGAAAATGGAAGCCTGTCAATAGAATCTGGGACCACAGAGATGCTAGGAATGTCTCCTAAGTCAAGAATGAAGAGAAACAGCTTCCCCTCCATCTCTCACTGGTACCTATTATTGGTCAAATTCTGCTAGAAACCAGTTAGCAAGAAATCTTGAGAAATGTAGTTTACAGGGGTCATCACACATATCCCCAACATATACACACATGTGCATTATAAAGCACAGCAGAAGAAAGACCTGAGGACCCGAGAGCACAGGCAAAAGACCTGAACAGTCAGGGTGTGACGTAAATATTCATGAGTACATGTGTGATGCATGTGTATGATACCGGATTGAAAGATGGGTGTGATGGAAGTACATGTGCGTGGGCTGGTGTGATCGTTCAAGAGTATATATGTATCAGATGGGCGTCAAGGGTTTGTATCTCTGTGTGCTAGGAATAAAGACCCAAGCATTTATGTATGATGTGAACAGCCAAGGATGTGTGTGTGTGATGAGAATACTTAAGCTCTTGGTGTGTGTGTGCTGCACTGTGAATGACCAAGGAAGTGTGTGTGTGATGTGAATGATCAAAGCTGTGATACAATGTTCAGTAGTATGTACGAGGAGGGAAGGAGGAAGGGAGAGATCTCTGATTTCTGATTTGTGTATGAGATTTCTGAGAAAAAGTGGGTATTGGAGAACTGAAATATTCCCTATGGACATGGGTAGAAAACTGTGGCCATGAATCTTCTTTTTGGAAAGGTATGTATGCTAAAATTTTTTTCAGTAATGGGGAGTGAACCCAGGGCCTTTGCACTGAGCTACAACCCCAGCTCTTCCTTTATGTTTTATTTTGAGATAGTGTCTCACAAAGTCACTCATTTGCCTAGGCTGGCCTCAAACTTGTGGTCCTCTTCCTCAGCCTCCCAGAGTGCTGGGATCACAGGCATGTCCCACCGTACTTGGTGTATGTTAAACTTTTTTTCCTCACTTTTGCACACAGTATAGCTGAGGACACTACTGACCAAAGGCTGTACATGAGGAAACTACAAGAAACATAAAATTTGTTTCACACACATACTTTTCAAAGTAGTCACCTTAAAAAGTTAAATTCTTATTCTATTGTTGCAGCCATGGCCTGGTGAGATTTTTAGACTGACTTTCAGAATCCATCTAAATGCTAGACAAAAGATCTTAAATCACTATTCATAATCCTATAGTCTTGTTGGCTGAGGCTAGAATGACCCAACTTAAGTCACTTAAATCACTCTGTTGGCATAAGAACCTTCCACAAAAAGAAAAAATGAAGCCACTTCATCACCTTTTGAGGCCACGTATCTTTTGGTATATGCATTAAAACATAGGCTCCAATGCCAGATAATTAGCATTGGAGATGGGAATGCTCAGCGAGTTATGGAAACAACTAGGAAACAAAGGACAGCACAGAATCTGTAGAATCACATCATATTCACATTTGACTTTGGTGTATTCAAACTATTAGGCTGGGATTTTTAAGGTAAGACAAATAATAGTATAAATACTATTTTATAATTTCCATCCATTATTGTCTACCCTGGCATCCTGCTTTGGTGTGAGCCTGAGATGAGTGAGGCAATCAGATCTTGGATCCTGAACCTGTGACTTTGTGTGAACATCTCATGATGCTTATGGTGATCTCAGTCCTCTTCATATTCTCCCAAACGCCTCACTTCAGGCCTTTCTGGGGGTGAGAAACAGACCTGCAGTCATTTTCCCCTTATGGTAGGATCTGGAATCTTAGTGTTTTATACTCAACACAAACCAGCTGGAGAGTCCTGGGCTCAATCAAATAAACTCTGACTGGCCAGTCATTGGAAAAAAAACACTGACCACACTGGGTTCCGCCAAGAGACCTAGGCCAGTCACCAATGTGACACCTAAGGGACACTTCCATGGTAAGATAATATATAATCTGTGGCTAGAATCCAATACTGATGTAAGAGGTGACCATATAAGAGATGAAGGAACCCATTCTCTTTCAGACAAAACTACTCCTAAACTGTCTCAGACAGTTAAGAACATAAGACACTAAGATAAACCCCGTATGCATGGCCCTCTAAGCCCACAGAACTTCCTTTAGGCCTCGCTGGATTTTGTGCATAATTTCCTACCTATCCTTTCCCAGCTCCATCCTCCTCATTACTCTGGGTCTCAGCTCAGCCTTGGTTGTCTTGGAGGCCTTCCCTGGGCCAGATAGAACAGGGTGCACAGCACACATTTTCCCTTGCTTGCTGATGGGTCTGTTTCCTGTCCCCACTTTTAGCACTAAACTATTTTGAGAACACTGTCTGGGAGAATTTTGATCTCCATTGTATAACCAATGCCTGATAGTAAAAGCACCCTTTTCCACAAATATCTGTTGAAGGGTAACTGGAAAGTTTCAGGAATTCATGTTAATGTGCTAGAGGTTTTCCCATGTGTAACTTCTCAAAATTCCTACTCCTGCATCTTAATCTTATTGTCTCTAATTCAGACAAAGATGACTACAGACATTCCTTATGTAATGACCGAGTTCTGATTTTGCAACTGGGTTGCTGATTTGGTCACTAAATGAGAAATTGTATATACTATGTATATTACAATATTCAGAACAAAGAAACAGTCAAAGGAAACTCCAACTTGATGACTTTGCTTTTATTTGCATAACTCTTACACACAATACTGTAATGTACAACAGAACATAAAACTACAGTACTGTTCCATACAGTGTAATCAGCAAAAATTACAGTACTGTATAAATAAACTGTACTGTAAAAAAAAAGACACTGAGGCTCTACAGACAAGATGCACAGACAATACAAATAAAAAAAAAAAGATGTGTGGTAAGTATGTGACAGGTCCTAAATCTGGACAGTCATTAAACAGGCAGGTCGTTAAACAGTAATATCTGTAATTAAAACCTCCCCATATAAGCAACACATACATTTGAAGACCAGGATTTTCATCACTCTCTTCTCCAACTTCAAGGATGTCAGCGCCTTAAGCCTCATTGTTCTGTACTCCAAATCCTCAGTCAAAAAATGCCCCAGTTCCAGTTTTTCCAACCAGCCTGCAGCAGTTGTCCCTCGGTGACCAGTTCAAGATTTCTGTTACACAGAAAGTATCCAGGCAGCAGGGGACACAGGTGTTTTCAGAATTATTCAGCTCTGGGTCCAAATCCTGGCTCCATCACACACACTGACTATTAGACCTTCATAGAGTTCTTCACTTCCCTAAATTTTTCCACTGATCTAGAAATGGCAAGGAAAAAACTGCCACACAAGACCTAAGAATAAGTGAGACAGATTATATGGACAGGCAGGCTTGGCATAAGGCTACAAGAAGAGGCCCCAGCACATGGGGACACAGCATCTGTGTACTTGCAGAGATAACCCCAGGTACCCTGACTCTGTCCCAGCTGGTTACATGTCAGCTCCTGATTGCCCTTAACCTCAGAGGGCAGGCACTGAAGACTGCTCAGCCTGAGGCAAGGAGTTGCTTCAAAGGCAGCAGCCAAAGGCCAAGTGCAGTGAAGGTTTCGGGGATGACAGTCTGCGTTCAGAAAAAAGTGGCAGACCCTGCCACCTCCCAATCTGAAGGTGTCCTCCAAATCCCTACTCCCAGTGTATTTTCAACTTCACTTGCCAGCCTGCTGCACCCAGAGCACCTAATCTCAGGGATTCTCAGTTTACTGTACTTTGATGCTTTTCCCCTTACTCAGCCAAAGAAAAATTTAGACGGTTTCTCTCCTTCTACCCCAGCCCCTTCTTCAGCCACTCAGCAGCTACATTACACATGGGAGTCTGCTATTTCAGTGACCAATGATGCGTCTGTATTGCTAAAGCCTCTGAACAAAACCTGTTGCTGGTTTTCCTGGCTCACTTTGGGATGGCTTAGGGTGTTCCTAATCCCTTGCTCTCTGGGCCATCCTCACCCCGGCTCATAGGAGCTACCAATACCCACCTCAGCTGCAGCAGCAACAATTCATCTAAACTACCTGAACCTGATAGCAAGATCCACACTGAATGCCTCTCCTAGAAGCAGGGACAGGAACAGTTTCCTCCCCCACTTCCTGTCTTGAGCACTGAAATTCTGAGGTAAAAGGTGACTGAAAGTCTAAAGTGGCTGGCCGTAATCCAGGCTCCCCAGGCTTCAAGGAAATAAAGCTGAGAAGGGTGGGGGCTGAGGTGCCCTGAGCTTTGAGGCAAACAGGCTTTATCGTGCTGTGTGCTTGCAGCTTAGCGATCTGTGAGCTCTTAATAATTGGGTTGCTGACCTTTCAGCGGTGCTCCTTTTTCCCCTGCTGGGGTAACAGAATGGGTCAGCAGGTCTATTCTGCTTTTAGCGCCCCATAAGCCGGCACCTAACAGTGGCTGTGGATACTCAGGCCCAGGGTGGGATGGGGTAACATGCCTGAGTAGCTGGACATAGTTATGGGGACTGACCTACCACACACTCATTCTGAGATTGGCTGATGGAATCCATTAATGTCCAAATCACTTGTGTGCCTTTCCAAATAGGTCAGAAATGCTTGGTTGCCACAATGCATAGCAAAGAAAGGGTGAAAATGGGGACAGTAAAAGCTACAGATGATACAGCTGAATTCAGAACTGGGAGCCCCTGTTGGAAGGAGGGAAACATTTACTGAGTGTTTATAACAAGCTATGCACAATGCTAAGTACTTCAAATAAATTATCTCATTAGCTGAAAAAGAGTTGCATCTTCATTTTACAGATGAAAAAGTTAAGACAGGGTTAAGAACTAGCAGTGCACACAAATCACCTTGAGTTTGAATTCTGATCCTCTTACTAGCAAGTAACCCTAAGCAAGTTAATTAACTTCTTTGGGTGTGTTTCCTCATCAATAAAATAGGGATAACGATGCCTGCACTGCTGGTTTAAATAAAAATGCACATTTAGGTAAGGGTCCTCACACTGTTCTATGTCCTAAGGAGTCACTCCACCAGTGTCAATAATGATAGTTGCTATAACTTCAAAGTATATACAACAAATTTAATCCCGATTTTCTGACTGTAAGTCTGGTGCCTAGGACAGAAGCTGACTCTTTTATACACTTTTTGAAGTTGGGTGGTGGGGCGCTTCGACTAATCCAGTAAAGTGGTAAGTGTAGAAGCACATACAAGGTGGAGAAATGGCCCAGCAGTAAGTCATTCTGAGGGTAAGATACCAGAAAAACAAGTGCAGCAGCATTTTCTCCACAGTTCCAACAAAGGTGGGAACCAGGAGTGACTGGAAATCATTTGGGAAAGGAATAAGCAAGGCAGTGGCAAGAACAAGCCTACACCTCTGCAGGACCCTTCTGGTGAGCTGGGTGGTCTGTTTTACATGCCACACACACACACACACACACACACACACAACCCATGTGCAACATTTCTCCTTTTAGGTTGTACAAACACATCTCAAACTACAACTCCTAATCTGCACACCACCACACATTTCTTCCACCATGCCATGTGCTTTGAAGACATCCCCCAAAACACAGAAAGCATCTTATTTTGTCCCTAGCAGCCAACTTTCCCCAATTTTTTATCACGTTTGACAACCAGAGGAAGGTTCAAGATGGCACTCAACAAATGCTGTCAATTCTACAATGCTGAATATCTTGCAGACTAAAATCACACTCCAAAAAAAAATAACAGAAAGGAGGTTTAGAGACCACTCAAAACCTGTGGAATTTTGTAGCCAGAGCCCAAAGAGCAGAATTAAGCTCAATGAGGACACTGATGCAGTGAAATCCCTACCACTTTGTGAACTGGTCCCTGGTAGATTTAAAGCTTGAGCATGTGCCACTAGAGATGTGGAACCTTTGAGATGCAGCTCCTAGAAGAGATGAATTCCAACAATACTAAACACACTGTCAAAGTTGGAGCCTTCTCATCAATTTTTTAAAACAAAAGGTGGGCAAAATGTATTCCCAGTTTCATCCTTTTCCAATTGGGTTCCCCAGGTAGCTGAACACAGTGGAAGGGCTATTTACACACTATATCCCACTAAAGAAACAATGTTATAGGTTGGGGCTGTAGCTCATTGGTAGAGTATTTGCCTAACAGGCACAAGCCTCTGGGTTTGATCCCCAACACTACTAAAAAATTAAAAAGAATGTTAGCAAGCTGACTATCTCATGCATGGTTATGACAATAATCATTTCATTCCTGCCCTTTTAGGTCAGAGGAACCTAAGACCCTAGATCATACAGTACAGATAACATGCATGACATAATCCAAAACACAGAGAGTACCCTAGTCCTATAGCTGTGCCCAGGCTTCACTCCCAGGTACCACCCCTGCTCTTCATGAGCACACTGTACTGGGACATATCTTCCCCAGTAATGGGGGAGAGAATACACGCAGGAGATAACGGGCAAGGAGACAGATACAGAATGAGGCATCTCACTTTCACTATAGAAAACAATTTCTATGACCCTGTGCAAGAACATAAGGATGCATCTGAGGCAAAAACAAAGTTCCCATCAAGAGGACCATCTGTTTACCCAGAAAGCTGGGAGAGAGGAAACCAGAAAGTCTAGGGATCTAGCTCTGCAGCCTCATCACCAGAACCACAAGTCTGGGCAGACAGACATATCTGACTCCCTCACTCTCTTGCAGTCACAGAGCAAAATGTTTATTTATGCCTCTATGTGGCAGGCACTTGGGACCAGTAATGACCTAAGCAACAAACTGAACAGCCACAAGGCCCACCTCAGAGGCGAGAGGTCAGCTTTCTCCTCTAACACAAATGAAGTATAGCATGACTCCAAGCCACATCATGGCCTGGCCATGACTCCTCCTTTTGTGGAATGAAGATAAGCTGAACTTGTTTGCTTCACATGACCATTTCAAAACAGACATGACATGATTAGTTTGTTTTTAAACATAAAATGCTTTTAAGGAAAAGGAGGGATGAAGGGAAAAAAGGAGGAAAAAGAAAGCACTATTTCTGAGCTAGATTAAAACATTTTCCTATCAAATGGAAAGGAGTAACAAAATGGGAAATGGCTAAGAAACTGTATATAGTAAGGTTCTTCTTGTGCATCTGGAAGTTTTACAGAACTCAAGGCTTTGTCACTTCATTTCTTTCTGTTCTTTCTTCCTGAGCCCAATAAGTCAGTTAATTCACCATAAGGCAAAAAAACACTCAACTATTATCAGTTTGGGAAAAATGAAAGGCGCCCTAGATCCCTCTTCACAGGGAAAAGCCAGTTGACCCCCCCAGGGCAAATCAGCTGAGACCAACACAGGACAGATTCACTTAATTCTCCAAATTTTGTTTACTGTTCATCCAAAAGTCCTTGAGGCCCAACTTGTCCACAGGCAGCTCAGTCCATCAGAGGTCCAAAAGAAATTTCTTAACCTGGGTCAAGTATTTCGGTTTCAAATAGTCGCCCAGCTCCTCCTTACTGACCCACACATGATGGCCCTTCTTCCCGGCCTGGGAAAAGTCTCCATTTAATAGTAGTGCTTTGAAGAAGAATATTTTGGCCCCAAGGTTACTCTCTGTCCGCATGGCCTGGGGGAACTTGAACTTGTAGTGGCCACAGGGTGCATTTCCTAGGAACTTGGCTTCCATGTTGTTTTCTGAAGAAGGAAAAAAATTGGGAGATAAAAACACACCCTCCAGTTTATTCTAGCTCCCAAAGTCACAGAATTCTCCATGAATGTTAGTTCCAGCCCTGAAATAAAAGCTATCCCTAGAAGAACGGAGGGCATTCCTGAAAAGAGTCTCCTGCCTTCTCAATCAGAATGCTTCCTGGTCCATGCAGTCCAGAGTCACTGGATCCTTCCTTTCGCTTTGAAATCAAACCAAAGTCAGAGATGCAGTTCCAGAAACACTTTCTGGCAGCAAGAGCAGCTGGCCTCTGCACATAGCCTGCTCACCATCTGCTGATACTTGGAGTCTGTATAGTAAAGTTCACCTGCTTTTAAAGGGGTGTCACAAGCAAAACACAAAAGGAACCCCAGATTCCACCTCTATAGTATGAAAATGTCATAAACAAAGTTAAAAACCAGCATCTACAATCTATAACTAGGGTTTAAATCCTAATCAAGCAATTCTAAGCATGGGGAAAAGGAGGATTACTAAATGGCATCTGAGGAACTAGCTAGCTAAATGGAACAGACAGATGCCACAGTGAAGTGATATGACAGTACCCACACTGAAGTGATACTACAGATGAAAGGTTGAACCAAAATTTCAAATTTTCATAAATAATTTCTTCTTTCTGAATGGTGGTTTCAGGGGCAATTATTCCCGAATTCTTCTGTATTTTTAAACTTTTCATTTAAAAATTATAAGGCATTAGAAGAGGACATGGGATACTTTCTGTATCATTACTAAGAGAGGAAGGCCATTTTATACAAGACACAAAATTCAAAACTCCCCACAATGAAAAATATATTTGTCTACAAAAAAGAAAAATTTATCTTCCTGCAAGGAAAAACAAAGCACAACAAAGTCAAAGACAAAATGATAAACTAAGAAAAACATTTTCATCACATTCAACAAAAACACATCTTAGTACTATATTAAGGTACTATATTCACTATATTAAGTACTATATTAAGGAGCACTTATAAATCAAGGGAAAAAATGAAATCCAAAAGAAAAATGACTCAAATATTTTAACAAGAAGTTCACATGAAAATATCAACAGCCTATGAATATTAAAAGGTATTCAATCTAACTGATAATTGAAGTAATATAAATTAAAACAACAATAACATACCATGGGCTTGAGTTGTAGCTTGGTGGAAAAGAGCTTAAGCCTAACATGCTCAAGGCCCTGGGTTCAATTCCTAGCATCCCAACAAACAAATAATAATATGTCATTACAATTGGCCTTCCTTATCTCCGTGTCTGTAAGGTCATGAATCCATGGATTCAACCAACTGTGGGTTGAAAATTCTTGTGACAGAAAGACAATAGCTCAATACTGAATATACACTGACTTTTTTCTTGTCATTACTCCTAAACAGTAAGTATAACAGTTTATTCATATAGCATATACATTGTATTAAGTATCATAAATAACCTAGAGATGACTGAAATATACAGGAGGATATATGCAGGCTAGATGCAAATGTTATGCCATTTTATATACCCACAGATGTTCAAGTGTGCAGTAGAAGAGGAAAGGCCAGGAACCAATCCCTTGTACAACCCCTTTTCTTCCTTGAGAAAAGACTGTAGTAGTAAAGTTCAAAACCTTTGATTTTTATACTGTGTAAGAGAGATAGGGAAAAAAATGGTACCTTCAGACATACTATGGAGAAATAAATTAGGGGGATATTATAAATAATTTGCCAAGATTGATTTTAATTGTACATACTCTTCTACCTAGCCAAGTCTGGAATTTTATCCTTCCAACTGTATTTATTTGCCCATGTGAGAAAAGATGAATACACAGGATGTTCCCTGAAGCTTTACTTATAAAAGCAACAGATTAAGCAAATGACAGTACCTACGCAGCATGAACTAGTATGCAGGTGTTAAAAACATGTAAAATCAGACTTTATATGCTGATCCGGAAAATTTTAAAAGCTGTATGAGGAAAAAACTACCTGTGTGTGTGTGTGTGTGTGTGTGTGTGTGTGTGTGCGCGCGTACATATGTGTATCCTCTCATTATATAAAAAAAATTTATTTCTATGCTTGTATACACATAGAAATTTTCTAAAAGTATATACACACACCAACAAAAAAATCTGTTAATGAGGATTACTTCTGAGAAAGAAAAAGCACTTCTTATCCTATATTTATGAGATGCTGTGTAGAAATTTCTCACCATATACATGAATTGCTTTCCCTATATTAAAAAAACATTACTAGCATTAGATGAAGATTTTACATATGGTGTAGGGTCACTCACATACAATACAAAGTGTAAGGAGTGCATATCTGTGAACTATACTGGAGTATTTCTTTATACTTTTCTGGATTTCCCAAACTAAATTCAATAATGCATATTACTTTGCCATAAGCTGGAAAAGATGGATTAAAAAATACAACCAAAAAAAAAAAAAAACAGCTCAATTAAAACATGAGCAAAGGATTTAAACAGGCAGTTCACAAAAGAAGAAATAGTTAATAAACATATGAAAAGATGACTAATCTCACTAGCAACAAGAACGGGCTAAACCCCAAGGAGATCAGATCATTTTTACCAACTACAGAAGCAAAAACAAACTGTGCTATTTCACATGTTTGTGGGGTCAAGGCAACAAGCCAACTGCTCCTAAAAATGTCAACTGTTATATTCTTTCCAGAGGACAAGTGGGCAGTAGTTATCAAAAACTAAGTGTGCCTAGTTGTGACCTATTAATCCCATCTCTAGAAATTTTACCTTGCAGAAATATTGGAAGTGTGGAGCCAGTGTTGAAGGAAGTAACATACTTACTTTTCTTACACATTGCTTGAATTTTCCTTTGTCACTTTTATTTTATATTACCACTATAGTAAATCTGCAATAAGTATTTTTGCAAAAAATCACTGTTTATTTTCTATGCGTCTATTAAATATAAAACATACTTTTAATATTACACATTTCCTTTAACTTTATTAATTACAAAGGAAATTTTAAGAGGAAGAAAGCATAGAGCCACTTCCATGTGGGACACAGGAAGTAGCACAGAGCAAGAATCTGTCATGGAGGCTTGAGGGAGGTTGAGCATTGACCACAATGATCCTGGCAAGTAACTAAGCTGCCAATTCCTATGTGATGGCTGACAGTGAGAACTGAGCAAAGGTCCCTTGTCCCACTGCGGCTTGCTGCCTCTCCTATATGCCAAAGAGGCTCTTGGTTAGAAAAGGTCAAGGAAGCACACACTGATTGCTTACATTTTGTTAAGAGCACCTGCTGGTGGCAGGTCTGGTCAAGCAGCTGTACACCTACACAATCAAATCCATTTACTCAACAAACACTCAGCAAGTAACTAGTATCTGATAGATACTTTGCTGAGAGCTGAGATCATAAAGTGGAATATATACTTTGCAGACTTTCAATGAATTCAAAATCCTAGCAGGGGAGAGAAGTGTACAATAAACAATTACTACAGTGTAAAAGCATAAATGAAAGGGCATCTCCAATTCACTACTGTGACCCAAGTGCCTGGAGAGAAGGGCCTGGCACAAAGTAATGTTTATTTCATAAACTAAATAATGGTACATGCAAGTGTGATGGAAGCCCAGGAAGAGACGCTCTCTTTACCTGAAGGTTCAGGGAAGATCACAGTACAAAAAATATAATATATGAGCAGAGTCTTAATAACTGAGCAGCCAGACCAGGAAGAACTAAAACATTCTGCCAGGAACCAGCATGTCTCGAAGCAAAGATGCATGAAAGGCCACATTAGTTAAGGAATACAAAAGTTGTGTGAGTTAGAACTTAGAATATATATTAACAATGTAAGACAGAAGATTGATGAGATAGAGACCAAGGCAAAGAGGCCATGCTGGAAATTTCTCTTTAAAAATTCTATGCAGAGAAGTAACAGGGGATTTGCACTTCAGAAAGATCATGTTAGCAGCACTGAAGGGTATGACACAAAAGTAAGAGGCGACTTCTTTAGCATCTCCTTCAAAAGGCCAATGTAGTGGTTCTCCACCACAAGTAATATCTGGTAATGTGTAAAGATATTTTTGCTTGTCACTCTGAGGGTGAGAGTTAGGGAATGGGGATGAAGTAGTGCTGCTGGCATCTAGTGAGTTGAGGTAAGAAATCCTGCTAAACATCCTACAATGCACAGAATAGCCCCCCACAAAGAATTATCTGATTTCATACATCAGTAGTGCCACAGAGAAATGCTGATCTAGTAAGAAGTGAAGGAAGTTATAGCTCAAGCCAAGGGAATAAAAATGGGGCTATTTGGAATAGACCAAGTAAGACTCAAAGACTTAAGCATGTTGGAATGAAGTTAAGGAAAACTGAGGTTTCTAGTTGAGTGAATAGATAAGCCATAGTACTGACAAGCAAGACTATAAGGGTAAGAGAAGCAGGCAAAGAGAATAACAAAAACACCAGTTCTGAATTCACTAAAATCTCAGTGGGACGAAGATTAATATTCTTATTCATTCCAAGTGAAAATACTTGTCTGGATTTTTCTATTGGAAATTTTTATAAACATCAGTCTCCATTTACCTTCCCACTCTTTACTCTTAAACCCATTCTCACAGCCTATAAATACTCCAGCTAGATCTAAAGCAAATCTTTTTTGAGACGAAATCTCACTATGTAGCCCAGGCTGGCATTAACTCCAAGACTCTCACCTCAGACTCTTAAGCAGCTGTAACTACAGGCACGCATCACTGCAGCCAGTTCTCAAGTGAATCTCTTGAGACTTGGAAAAAGCAGAGAACTCACCTGAGAGAGCACCCAGTGTTCGCTCGGCTGTGTCTCGGAGGGTCTCCCCTGGCTGCCACTCGGTCTGGGGTAACAACCAAACATCCTCATCTCCAAGTTTCTCTCTGACTAACAGAACAAGGTTTCTGTCTAGCTTCCGGTGTAGTGAGGTTCGGTCATTTGTTTTATCAGCTTCTATGAAGAAAAGGGGGTCAGAGTCAGAGGAGACAAAGAAAATCAATCTACCAGAACTGAAAAAAACCTAAGAGTTTTAGGGCCTCCCTTTAGGGAGGGCTATGATCAGTGCCCTCAAAGAGCATACAGGCAAATTACACCATGAACCATCTAACTCTGACCTCTTTCAGAGTACAGGTTCATACTACATTTCCTCTGTAGAGCAAAGCACACTCTAAAGAACAAACAATACCTATAAAAACTCAAACACAACTGCTTGGTTGATTTTATCACTATTACTGACCTAAGTGGTCCCCACTTTCTCTATTCTTCACTCATGTATGAAACAATGACAATAGAATCCCTTGCTTTAAGAGGGATTTCTGATGAAACACAAAAACTGGAAGAAAAAGATTTTATTTTTCCACTCTTTCAGTAGGAATTAAACTCAGATAACACAAACTTTAACTGAAAAAGGGCTACCTCAACATAAAAAAATAACATAGGCCTTTTAAAAAATTATACTAAGACAGATGTCAAGAATAAGGGAAAGAATTTACTTTCCTCGGAGATGTTTTGTTACTTGAAATTGTTACTTAAAACACAAAGCAGAGGTTAAGCAACTGTCCCATATTCAGGAACCAGAACTTCCTTCTTTCCTTCCTTTTTGTTGGCTTAAAAAGATCACAAACCTGTTACACGGGATCCAGGTTTGAACTTTAGGAACGCCTGCTCCCATGAATCTTCCAAATCTTGTACAAGCAATATGTCCTGTTCATCTTGTTCTTCATCAGCGTAGAGGTCAGCTTTCTTCTTTGCCAGTCTCTTGGCTTCATCCAGAGAACGAAGTTCATGGTCTGAATACAGGCTTTTCTCTAACTCAATCTGGAAAAATTCAAAGGATCAAAAACAAACGAAAAAGAAAAGAAAAAACAGGAAGAATAAATAAAACAAAGCTACAGCATCCCTGAACAGGCTCAGAAGTTTGCCGCAAAATAATCAAACATATGATCAAAATGCGATACAGAAAGAAAAGTGTCACCTACATAAGGCTTCAGTTACATTTGTGAGTATATCAGAATATGACTAGGGCTCCAGACTGCTACAAAGAACAGAGGACTGGGACTGGTATTGCCTGCCCAACTACCACACTCCAGTCCTGTCAATTGTTGAACAGCACCTTACTTTCCTGTCTTGGGAACTTTACAACTTTACTTATTCCCTCATGTTCTTTCGCCCAGAGGATTTCTACTCATCCTTCTGATCCCAATTTAAGTATCACTTTCTCAGAGAGGCATTTCTTAAAACCTCCCATAAACTCAAAATTAGATGTCCCTGTGAAACACATTACTGTGTAATTTCCTTTTCAACACTTACCAGGTTCTGCAATTACTTATGTGATTATTTGGTATGAGCCTCCTCCCCTCATTCACTGGACTGAAATTTCTAAGCCGTAGCTGTACCCATAGCTGTCTTATTCAGTATTGCATCTCTATCACAACACACTGTCTGATAAACAAAAAAGCATGTGCTAAGAACATCTGTAAGGTGAATAATGATAATTTGTCAAGCGAGTATATAAGTAAATCACGCAAAAAAAAAAAAAGGAAGAAAAGAAAAGAAACCACAGAAGTTTATAGCTTTCAATAGTCCAAGACCAAAACATCTCAGATTCTCTGAAAACATAACATCCTTCGATCATTATCTGTAGGGACTTAGCACCTTCACAACCTCTACACCCAGTTTTTACCCCTATTTCCCCTTTACAGAAATAGCCCTGTGAGGTAAAACAAAGTGGACTTTATCACAGGAATCTTACAGATGTGCTCCCGCCTCCTGTGCTTTTTTTTTTTTTTTTTGTACCGGGGATCGAACTCGGGTCCTTGCGCTTGCGAGGCAGGCCACCGAACCGCTGAGCTAAATCCCTGGCCCCTGTGCTTCTTTCTTAATACTCATCACACATCACACTTTCTCCCCTCCAGTCAGAGAGCGCTTGGTGAGAGGGACTGATTCCAGCGGATCCCAAATGCGCTAGATGAATAAAGAAGGAAAGTGGCTCCAAAGTGTTGTCGAAAAAAACAACAGAGGAGGACGGTGAAAATAAACTGTTAAACTCCTACTGGGTGTCAATCCAACTCAATAGTTACTTCTATCCTGCAGACAAGTACAGTGAGGTTGAGAAAAATGCTTTGCTTCAGGTTACACAAACTAATTGGTGCCGAAGTTAGTGTCGAACCAAGGCCCTGGTGACTACTTCCCCTTCATCGCCCTTAAACCCGCATCCTTGCTTTTACCTGCTGCAGCAAAGCCGCCATCTCTTTCTGCAGTGGGGTCAGAGACTTGGAGATGAGCGGTGGCCGCTGCAGACACAACGAGCCCAATAAACGCCATGGCGATCTGTTGTTTAAGGGTGCGGTCTCAAGAGAGAGGCTGCGAGAACACAAGCTACCTGCCCAAAATTTCTCGAACCGCCGCCAGCCTCTCGTCACCCCTGATACTGTGTACCTCACGGGCGCCGCCATCTTTCTGCCTTCCCACAATGTCTCGCGGCTCACAGAGGAGACCTCAGCCAACCCCATGCTCCCATAAGGTAACGCGAGAGCGTCGGAAATGGGGTAGAGGAGGTCCCAGGACCTACTAGAATGAACCATTCCAATATGCAGGGGTGGTCGAAGTTCTCGTGTCAGGACATTTAAAAGGGGAAGAATTCCCAAGTGAACCCGCCAAGCTAGATTTTATAGAGCGCTTAAATTGAGGCAAAACACTTGGTGCACCTAATAAAGAGCAACAAGATGGATTTCCCTTCTGTACCCTCCCCCACAGGCATTCACGGTGCTAGCGCCTCTTTAGCTACGCCGACCCGCCGACGGGTATTGACTGGGATCAATTCAAATTATGCAGGTTGTGAGAAACGCGGGTTCTTGGATCCTGCGGTTATGGAGTGGGCCCCAGACCAGCGGGTAAGAATAATTGCCCCTTGGACTCCACCACTATCTCTGGGAGTGCACTTCTGGCCCTGTCTCGTGTGTTACTTGGGCTCCAGTGACCGTAAGGCCAGGACCTTACCAAGCTTTCCTTCTCCGCAGGGTAGCGGCCAGAATCTCAGCCCGGACCATCCACACGGGAGCCCAGGAGATGCACGATGCGGCGGCCAAACAGGAAATTGAGAAGGAGCCTCCGAGCCACAGCAGATTCAGGTGAGGGCCACTGAGATCCAGTCCTCGGGAGACCCACACCCGTGACTTCTGCCTACCACCCTCCAGAGTCAGAGAAGCAGTGAATTCCCAAACCTGTCACTTGCCATCCACAGATCTCGTGCAAATCAGTCTCGGAAAGTCCGTTTTCTCGTAAAAAAAAAAAGGGGGGGGGATATTGCTTAGAGGCATTGTTTGTGAAAATCAAATGAGATAAGCTCTGGCACTTTGAGCTGCTCGGTGAACATGTGTTGGGTGAATAAGTGAATATCAGATGTATGTGTGCTTTCTTTACTCTGAGTTGGAGTTCATGTCAAACTAACAACTTTCCCTGCCTTGGATACAGAATGGAATGAAAGGGGTTTTTATGCTTTGGAGCAGATCATCCTGCACTATGAGTTGATTGAAGGTCCGGGGTGAGTTTTATGCTTGCTCTTGAGCACTGGCATCTTGCTTCCTGCCAGTGCCACTAGCTCTGTGTCCAGGCAATGTACCTATTCACTTAACTTCATATCCTTTAACAAACGTTTACTGAGAGCCTACTATGTGGCAGGTACTATGCTAGGTAACAGAAATACAAAAGGTCATTCCTCCACCCAGATAGTTCACAGTCTTTTTCTAAAAAACACAGATATACACACAGTTTCACCATGTTCTGATCAGTGATATAATAGGTAAAAACTGGTTGGAAGTATGAAAGAATAAATGCCTCACTTCATAGAAATCAAGCAAGACAGTCAAAATAATGTGAAGTTGAGAAGTAATTTGGAGTTCAGCTCTGCAAGATGAACAGACTCTTAGCCAAAGATAACTGGTCTGTGTAAAAGCATGTAGTTTGAAATAATATAGTGTACTTAAGGTGTGTGTAGTGACATGAGGCTAGCAAGACAAGAAGAAATCCGAATAGTGAAGGTCTTGTCTGTCTTCCTGGAGCTTTTACACTTTCCTCACTGCTGAAGGAATGTAAGTCAAGATTCTGTTCTAGGCATTCATTCAACATTGTTAGAATTAGGGGTGTAGTTCAGTGGTAGTGTGTCTGTCTACTATGCATGAGGTCCCAGGTTTGGGACCAGCACTGGGGGAAAAAAAATTGAACAATGCTAGGCATTGGCTTAAACCTGTCCAAACAGAAAAAGCTCTGCCCCATAGAATGTAAATCTTACTGGGTTGGGAACAGTAATAGAAAAATAAGTAAAATAGTGGAAGGCTGAGGTTCCAGCAGGCATGCATGGCCACAGTCTAGGGCTTGTAGGCCATAAAGAAGACTTGTAAGTGAGATGGGACACCACTGGAGAATTGAGTAGAGGGCTCACACAATTTTGCTTGCTTTTTAAAAGGATTCTCTCCTGCTGTGTTGATATTAAACCACTGGGAGAAATCTTACAAACAGTTAGAAAACTGGAGAAATAATCCAGGCAAGAAACAATGGTGGTTTGGACCAAGCTGATAGCAGTGGAGGTAGTATACATAGTTGGACTGATACATCTCGAAGGTACAGTATAGCCAACATGATTTATTAATATAAGTTGTAAGACAAAGAGAGGAACGAAAGAAGACTCCAAAATTTTGCACCTGAACAACTGGAAAAATGGGAGATTTTCATTAAGATGGGGAAAAACTAGGAATTTAGGTTTGGGTGGTTGCATTGAAGGAGCCTAGTACAACATAGAGTAGAGATTTGGGTGATGAGTGACAACCTCCAGAGAGGTAGAAAGAAAACCAAAAAAGTTTTTTTTTTTTAGTGTGGTTAATGGTAGGGAGGGAGATTGGCTATGTCCAGTGCTGCTGACATGAATGCTTTGATAAGCTGATACAGAACCAATAAGCATTTGGTTGGTGATGAGGATGAGAGCATTTCTGGTGGAATGGTAGGGGCTGATGCCTGATTGGAGTGGGAGCAAGGAGAATAAAAACAGGAAGAAACAGGAGTGAGTGTAATCAGTTTCTCCAGGGGACTTTTGCTGGAATAAAGAAATGGGCAGTCAAAGGAACTTTCAGGTTCAAGGAGTTTGATTTTTTTTTTTTTTTTTTTTTAAGGTTTAGGGCATGACAGTTTGTTTTGCTTCTGGGAATGATGCAGTAGAGGAAAGAACTACAAAAACGTGAGAATACTGCCAGAGCAGTGTCCTTGAGGGCCTAATGTGCTAGCAGAGCTTCAGAACAAGGGAGACAGTAAAGGCCATGGGCACAGATGGTTTTGGCCATGGGAGGTGGAAGAAACTCTGATTGCTTTGGCTTCTCTGTAGAGGTCATCAGCTGGCATTGAGGAAGCAAGAAGGAATTAGAGGCTTGAGGAAACAAAAGAAAATTCAGAAGAATCATCGAGAAGAATAGAAGGATAATTGAACAGGGCATATTGCCAGGCAGTGCTGAGGGCCCACTTGATGCTAGCAGTCACTGAAATATAGCAGTGATTCTTAGCCTAGACCAACTAGCCTCTGGGAGACTTTTAGCAGTGTTTGAAGACATCTTTGCCACAACTTGGGGGACAGTATCTAGTAAATAGAGGCAGGAATACTGCCAAACACCCCATGATTCACGGGACAGCCTCCCACGACAAAGAATTATCTTGCCCAAAATATCAGTAGTGATGAGGTTGAGAAGCCTTGATTATGGAGATCAGTTAGCATTGCTGCATTTGCCCAGGCTGAGTGGCTGGAGTAATGGGTTTAACCAGGGGGCGGGCCTTGCCAGAGCGGGTACAGTGAAGTAAGAGGAGACAGAATGGAGAGTGCCTACAAGGGAGTAATCAGGATTGGCCATGAGGTTTAGGCGAGGAGGGAAGTGAGAACATGAGGAGTGTGAGGGGTAGTGGACAACTGGTAGGGTTGCTGGACTGCAGGTCCTTGTGGGATTGAAGGGTTCCCGGAGTGAAGATAGCAGGAGAGGGAGTGTACCAGGGGTGGTGGCCAGAGAGTGTGGTGCTTGAAGGTCAGAATATGGTTGCAGATATTGGCAATGACAAAGGTGAGGTGTGCCCCTAGGAGAAAGTAGCTAGGTAGGACAGAGGGTACTTATTGTTGAAGGACATAGACTGAGAAACAAGCCAAATGGTTGGAAAGATCTTACTGAAATCACCAGTAATTACAGTAGGAGTGGTGCTAAGGAAAGCTGAGCCAGGAGCTATGTCTTTGCATTTTTAAGAATTGTCCCCAGCAATTATTAGAAAATGGATTGTCTTCTTAGTTTCCTTGGTGTAAGGATGGGTAGAAGGAGGCAGGTGCCTGAAAGTTTTGCCTTGCTTTTTGGGGGCTTCCTTGGGTGAGCCATTTGTTCGTTTATACATTGAACCCAGGTGGTTCAAAGGCCTGCTCTTACTTGGGCTTTCAGTCAAGCTGAACTCTTCCCAGTTGTAAAAATTTGCTGTCTGTAAAAGGCATTACATTGATTACACTCAGACTTGACTAAACAGTTTTTTGACTCCCTGTCAACAGAGGAAATAATGAGTGGAGAAATGATCACTTTTTAAACGTTAAAGTCACCTACAAGACTCGTCCACTTTCAATACCTGCATATAGGCAGAGAAGCCAATAACCTACTGGATTTTACATCATCCCTAAGATCAGACCCAGGAAGGAATACACGTGTAACCTTTGGATACCACTGTACTGTTGTTTATTTTGGTTTTTGAAATATCTTTAGAAAAGCAGCCAGAGCTGAGAGGAGAGTGGTGCTCAGATTACAGTGTTGTGTCTAAAATGGAGTTTGTTGTATGGGAAATTCAGTATGACTATGTGGGGTACAGTCATGAATATGACCTGGGTGCAGAAACAGAGTGGAGCAGTGGGTTTCCTCCTAGCTGGGTTGCTGAATGGAGAGTTTCAACTTTTTAAAAAGCACAGCTTGGTGGGCAAAGCTCTGACCTGAGGCAGATCTCATAGGCCTCCACCTAGCTTCCCTTAAGAACCCTAATCCCCTATTTGTACCTGAGTTTCTTCATCTATAAAATGAATTGAACTTATGTACAGCAATCCGGAAGTAGACTAAGACTGAACTCAACACAGTTTCTAAGACAGTGTTCCCAACACAGTTTACATCTGATTCACCTGAGGTATTTGAAAAATACATTCCTGGACCCATTCTGAAGTCTGGGGTGAAGCTTAAGCATCTGAATGCTCAGGGGTAACTGTTTTGCCTCCATTGAAAGCCACTGGTCTACAGTAGGGATTTGCAAACTATGGCCACTTGCCTGTTTTTGTAAAGTTTTATTGGAATACCCATACTTATTAATTGACTGTTGTCTATGGCTACTTATGACAGTTTAGCAGCTGTGACACAAATCTCTTGACCATTGGCTAGGGAAACCTAAGATATTTGCCATCTAGCCCTTACAGAAGCTCACTAGGATATTCAGAAATAGTGATGATAATATGAGTATTAAATTTGGGGCTCATTCTTACACAGACAAGATATTGTCTGTGCTTGACAAAACAAGAAGTAGATGTTTGTCTAGATTTTTAAATTGCAGAAAGAGTAGTCTATAAAGGTCTTGAAAGTAGTGATTTGATTCTCTAGCAAGACAAGGGAAGATGGGAAATATGAGTTAAATTATCTTTTCTCATAGCAGAAAGTCCCTAGATATGTCTGAAGTTAACAAAAAAAATACAGTAATTCCAAGCAGGAATTGTAGCTTACTGGTGGAATGCTAGCCTACATGTGCTAAGCCCTGGTTCGATTCCAAGCACTGCAGCAGAAAGAAAAGCCCTGTAAGTGCAGTGCTCATAGAAACAGCAGTAGGCACAGAGCAACTGGAAACACATGGTGGGGACAGTGACCCCCGAGCAGGACAGGGACCCGGGGATATTGTTTTTCATTCTGGGCTCTTTAGTACTATTTTCTTTTTACTTTTTTACCCCCCAAGTGATATGTAACTCTTCAATTTAAAAAAAAAAAAAAGACAATTTTAAATAAAATCTTTCTTCTAATTGCAGCATTTACCCTCCATTTCCAGGAGAAGAGAGCTCTCTGCAATGGGCAGGAAAGAAATTTGAAGAGATCCCAGTTGCACACATTAAAGCGACCTACAACAAGTGAGCGGGAAGGGGAGCCCTGGGCTGTCCTCTGTGGGTTTCCTTCCACTTCACCCCTCCATGGATGAGAAATCAGGGTGCCAAGTGCCACATGATGGTACTGATACAGGGGTTCCTGGGCTCACCCCTTCTAATTTAGGAAAACACCTCTGTCTTGCTAAAGTTTAAGCTTCATGAAAATCTGAATGAGAATGGGTATATCATATTTATAAAAATTTTTTTTTTCCTTCTTTGAATTATTTCCTGGTCCTGTTCAAGAATTGGAGGAACTGTATTAGGGTCAGACAGTCCCCACCATGAAGGGGCTTATTAAGTGTGGGCCAAGTACCAGGGGGATGAGGGTGATAGGAGAGATGATCTGCGAGTACACAGCTTATCAGTGCAGTAACCGGAAGGTAAACCGCCGAGTAAATTCCGGCCCTTTAACATTCTCACCTTGGGCTGTAGTGCTCTGACATCCACCTCACAGGAAGAAAGGTGATGAACAGCAAGTTCAGAGCGATGAGACTTGTATTGCTGTGAGACATGTATACAGGTGTGAAGGGAGTTCCCAGCTGTGCATCAGCTACAGAAACAAGTGAATTTCTGTCTCCCCGGGCTCCTAGGGCCTAGGGAAGCGCTCTTACTTCCCTGAACCACAGTTACACTCATATGCCTCTGCTGTTTTCCCCAGCACTCACATCCAGCTGGTCTCCCCCGCTAACGTGCCCCTCGCCCGCACTTCCTGTGGCACGGAAGGGTTTCGGAACGCCAAGAAGGGCACGGGCATCGCAGCACAGACGGCAGGCATAGCCGCAGCGGCAGTAAGTACATGCACCTCGCAGTTCCCTTGGTATCGTCTGCTTTCTACATGGCTGATCCCTGCGAGGATTCTTATTAAAGTAGCCATTCAGAAGCAATGGCCCTGGGATATGTCCTGATGCTACAGGTGGCATGAGGAGGTCTATGTGCAAAGGTTCTTTCTGCTTTCTCGGCTTCAGTACAGATAAAACACTTGGCTTATTTTAGGTGTCAGAGCCAAAGTGATGAAGGCTTAAGAGCCACAGCTCCTCAATTTAAAAGCCCTTAGCATGGAGTGGGGAGGGGGTGACAGTCTGGAGAACATGTGATATAGTGAGGACTCACATACAATACCAGTTCCAGTGTGAAGTTACAGATCTTTTTAGAAGCAAATTGTCATGCACTACTGTTGGTCTATTTATTGAGCAACTGCTATGCTCTAGACACTTTACATTCATTATTGTGAATCTTCAAAGGACCCTTCAGCTTCAGTATTTGCTACTTTTTCAAGAGCCAATTTGAGAATCAGGATATATGTAGCATGGTCAGAACCAAAGAGCTGGTTCAGTTTCCTGATGGGAGCCTCACCTGGCCCACACTCACTCTTTATTCTGTAGCCTAGACCTTATAGTGTCCATCCTCTGCCAGGCCATAAGTACAGTATTTCCTATAATAAAACCTTGATCTTCAAACTGAGCTTGTCCTCCAGAAATATTGATTGCTATGGATTAATGATCACCAAAAATCGAAGTGCTATAAATGCTCAACACTGAACAGATGATATACAATTAAAAGAAATATGACAGTGTTGCCAGTGGTTTCTACATGGTAGGTTATGAGTAACTCATGTGTATTTTCCAGTGTCTATAAGGAACTGCCTTTATCATCAAAACAAAAATTAACTGTAAAAAATTTAACCGATGACACTTTTACGCTCAGCCTTGAAGTCCAGGGAAACACCTCGCGGTCTGCAGTTCTGCATTTACCTTCCTGGGAAGAATATGAGCAGTGTTTAGGAATCTCCATTAGGTGGCGGTGCTGTGCCGGGCGTAAAGACCACAGTCACTGCAGTTCTGTAACTTGCGGGCTCTGTCTGCCCTGCACCACAGCCACCTCCCCCTGCATCTTCTGTCCTCTGCCTCCCTTTTTGCTCCTGTGGCTGCCCTTTCCCTCTTGCTCCCAAGGAGGAGCCAGAGACTGGGATGCAGTAGTTCTCTCTCTGGACACTAACCATTGACCACTTCTCTCCAGAAAGCTACGGTGAAGGGTGTGACCCACATCCGAGTTGTGGTGAAAGGCCTGGGCCCAGGGCGCTGGGTAAGTGTTCGTGGTTCTCCACGGTGTGTGTGGAATCAGGGCTCGAGCTGGGTACAGCAAGGGAAGGAAAGCCCCCTTAAGTGAGTTTCCCTGGCATGGCCTGAAGTTTCTTCCTGTCATTCTTATAATCTCCTCAGCCCCTCAGAATGAGCCTGGATCACTTTGTTTAGATCACTGGACCCTCCTTGAGTGTCTCCTGTGTGCCAGGCCTCAGGGAGTGAGAAGGCGGCTCCACAGGGGACCATCTCTCAGTACATACTGGGGGCAGGCTCAGCACCCCAGGGAGCATCTCTGGAGGGTGGGGAAAGGTGCATAAAACAGAATTTTCTGGTGGTGCAGCATGTGCTGAGGGCCTGTGGAGATGTCCCGTGCCCAGCAGGGTCAGTCTTTGGCTTTGATACTAAAGATGTGCCAAGGAGTCTTCGTCCTAGATACTGACCCTGTTGAGAACTTGGTTAAGCGGCTTGGCAGGAGCCTGTTGTGAGGGGAGAGGAAGAGTAGGGAGTAGGGTTGTAGTTTTCAGAGGCAGCACCTCCCACTCCTCCCCTTGCCACATCTCAACCCTCCTAGGCCCCTGACTGCTCTAGAGGCAATGGGTCACTACTTCTGCAACTGTGCCATTCCCCTCTTTCTGCTCCTTCCAGTCTGCCATCAAGGGCCTGACCATGGGCGGCCTGAAAGTGATCTCCATCACAGACAACACTCCTCACCCACACAACGGCTGCCGCCCCAGGAAGGCCCGGAGGCTGTGATGGGAAGGAAACCTGCACTGCAGCCTCACCTCAGCTCTCACCTCTGGCTGGACCTCTCAAAGTCCCCTGGCAGAGTGACCCGCAGAAGAGGGCTCGCTGGAGACCTTCGGGCTCTCCAAATGCTCTCCTCATTTGCAGCCTTTGCTCCTTTGCTCACACGCCTACCAGAGAAGGATGTGCCCCCCAAGCCACACCATGCTTCTGAATGCAAAGGGAGCTTGTGGGGATAGCAGGGGACCAGACTCTGGCCTCTGCTCTTCAGAAATAAAGGACTTTGACCATCTGTAGTAATGTGGCTGTTGCTCTCAGAGTTACAAGCTGGAATCCCCAGCTGCTCCTGAAAGGGAGTGTATATTGCGCACCACCCTGGTTGGAAGGGTTCCACTGTAAACCCGAACTGCTGCAGCCCAGACCGATTCTTTGACTTCACACTCGTCACCGCTCAGCCAGGATCTCCAGGGCTCACCACAGCAACTTTGCACACTAACAAGTTGTAATTTGGCCCCAATAGGACAGCTCTCTTCTTCTCACCTCTGGATTCTGAGAGATGATTCCCCAGTCAGAGGCCTCACTTAAAGTTAGCCCCAGCAGTGTGGGAGGGTTGTCCGTAGCTCAGGTCTTCTGGAGTGACAGGCTCACCACGCTGAAGTGGCAGTCAGCTTTTACACTGCATGAGCCTCACCATCCCTGCACCTGAGAGGGAGTCTCCAAGGTCGGTGTTGAGGAGATTGAGTTGCGTGAACAGAATTCTCCAGGAAGGAAGTGGCTGGCCAGATGGTCTGGGAGGGTGCAAATCAAGAGCACAGGGAAGCATGCTTGGGTAGACCCTGGATAGTGCTAGCTGTGGGTACAGCCTGGGCCCCCACGCAATACTGACAGCTCCATCAGGTCTGAGGTCACTGGCACAGCTCAGAAGCCAAAAATGTGAGCTCAAGACAGATGGGAGAGATCACTCTTCATGGATGAGTTTAAGAGAAGGCCAAGAGTGAGCATCACAGAAGCCCAGAAGGAACTGTGAAGCCTACAATATAACAGTACTACTTTATTCACAAGAAGTTCTGGAAAAGAAGAGCCTACAAGCTCAGACAGGACAATGAGGATGAATAAAGATCAGTGGGCCTCCACCCAGAAATGATTGCTCAGTGTGAGCCCCAGGAGCCAGGCCTCCTTTCTCAAAGCATCCTGGGAAATGCACTGTTGCTCCCAGACTGAGTGGCCAAGAAAAATGCTCTCAAGTGGAAATACTCTTCATCATTTGGTCTTGGCTTCTCAAAGACTGGCCCCTTCACCAAAGATTGGCCAACCAAGGCAGTTTTTGTTTACTAACACACTGAGCTATAAGTCCCCTGGTGCCACAAGTCCCTCTCAGCTGTCCTGAGCAAAGGTGGAACGTGTGTTTGCCTTTCCCCAGGCAGAGACAAGGCCGAGCCCCATGTTTGGTTCCAGAACATCTGCACCAGCAGTGTTGGCATCAGCCCGTGGGACATACATCCTTGTTTCTGGGCAGCGGGATCTCAAATAGTTTCTATGGGTGCAATTTTACTTCTAAAGCTATTGGACTTGCTACATAAAACATGTATCATGTCTTATACAAGCAAAAACCAAAACAATGCAATTCCTTTCTTTTGGCATATTTGCAGTGCGTATGCTTTCAGCCAAGGCCAAGACCTGGCACTGTGATGCATGGTCACTGCCACAATAATTCTGCTTAGCCCTGGAGTCATGGGACACTAATGGAGAATCACTTGGCACTTTAGGAAAAAACATTTCCCAATTGCAGCCGCCTGTGACCTAGTTCAGTCATTTCCAGTTTTAAGGCTGCATATAGACTCACCAGGTTCCTTTATTCTCTCTCACCCTGTCTGCCTTTCCCTCTCCCTGTCTCTGTCACTCTCCCCGTCTCTAAATCTGGTCAGCATCACCCCACAGTGATAAGATGGTCACTGCAAAAGCAAACATTAGGCTAGACAGGGGGGTCCACGCCTGTAATCCCGGCCAGAACTCAGGAGGCTGAAGCAGGAGGATCACTGAGTTCCAGGCCAGCCAGGGGCCAGGGGGCATAGGCTGGATGGGCGGTCTAACAGAGGTCAGATCAAGATTGAGAGAAAAAGGGGGGAAAAACTTATAATCACACTAAGTCTGATGATAACAGGCTCAGTTGATTGCTAGAGAAAGGGAGATGGGTTTGTAGAAGGCTGTGGTCAAAAAGAAACTCGAGTCAAAGATCTTAGAAGTGGTTCATTTACAATTAGGCACAGGGGAGTTGAAATAAAAGTCACTGCTGTTTAAGTCAAGAAATTTGAAGATATGGACCGAGAAAAGTTATCCTCATGCTGAAACTCCAAAGTTGATGCTGGGAAAGGGATTAAGAAGAAATCTATGGAATCTGAAGTCCTCATACAAAGTGAAGAGACCTGGAGCCTAGGAAAGAGGAGTTCAGCAGGAGGGACAGAACAGACAGCAGGACGCTCAGAGGAGGACTGGTGAGAGGAGTGGGGATAACAGCTGTGGAGAAGAATGCAGGCTGGGGCGGGGCCCAGGGCAGTGACTGGGAGGGACGGACGCTGAGAGGGTGTGGAACTGAAGAGTCCTGCAGTGCCAAGAAGGGCGAGACCTCGCCATGGCCAGGATCTGTATGGAGCTCCAACATCCAACATCTACTCTGCTCCGAGGCGGCTTTTATAAAGGAAGAAATACAGAAGGTCACAACCACTGAAAAGAGGCTCGATCTAACCAAATTGAAGGAAAGTTAAAATGTATTACCCTCTTCCCAAAATGTAGAGAAGCCAATCAAAGCCACGGCAGGGATGAGATGGCCAGGAGAAAGTAGAGAATGAGGAGAAAGTGGCCCAGGCTGTAAAAGTTGAAAGAAGAGACCAGGCAAAGCCAGAGATGCAGTAATGGGGAATGAGAGGCTCTGGTGTCTCGAAGCCAAGGAGTCCAGCACTTAGGAAGGGACAGCCACTGTGCAGTCTGCTGCTTGGAGGTTGGCTGGGAGCTCTATGGGGTGAATGCGGAGGGTGCCTCAGGGAATGGCAGCCTGGAAGTCACGATTCCCCAAAGGGACAGAGGGTGGGAGACAGTGAATGGAAGGAAGGGAGATTTGGGGCAATACTGAGTACTTGGTACTTAGTAAAGGATGTCTTCTAGAAACAGGGAATCTGTGCAGGGATGGGCACTTTCCCTGCAATACAGAGAGCCAGGTGAGGAATGCAGAGGGGAGAAGAGCCTGAGAGCTGGAGGGAAGCAGACCTTGGCAAGGCGGCAGGAGGCTGGGTGTCCAAGGGAGACAGTGCCATGTGGGACCCAAGGACAGGTGTGCCATTGTAGGCTGGGAACAGCGGAGTCTGATATGAGCAACATGGACACCATGACAGAAACAGAATGTCCTTGGAACCAGCACACAGGGAACCTGCTTGTTCTTTCCAACATTTCATACAATTGTTGGGAAACAAAAGAGCTCTCCTTCCCCCTTGCTCTTACTGATGGATGCAAATAGCGAGAGCCTCTTCAGAGGGAGACTTGGCCATCTCCGCCCACGCTTCAGACACAGACCCTTGGCTTCCTCCTTCCCTCACAGGAATGTGTCATCCAGCGAGAGCAAGGCTGGCCACCAGGATGCCCTGCATGGTGGAAACATTCCATAGCTGCACTGCCCCTGTGGAAGCCCCTAGCCCGTGTGGCTCTGGAGCTGTGGGGTGTGACTGAGAAGCTGAATTCTGTATTTGCTTTCATTGGAATTCATTTAAATGTAGATAGCCGCATATGGCTGGTGGCTGCCATATCGGACAGTGCAGGATAGCCTTTCCTGTGTGCCCCAAGTATGCAGAAGTAGCAACAGAGGCTCTGTGCGCAGTGGGAAAACGGGGGAACCTAAAGCCCAGTATCAGTGGCTAGTAAAGGAAATCACAGCACAGCCACAGGAAATGCCAGGACAGAGACAATGTGTCCAGTAAGAATTTAACTTTTAACTTTCTCACCTTTCAAAAGTGGGTATCATATGTGTGTGTCTTTACTCATTCAGATTCCTGAACCAGTTAAAATAATATAAATAAAGAACTCTTATTTTTAACGTATAGAAGCTGCAGTGGGGCATTATGAAAATTATCCCCTGAATTGTGCACATAACATTTTCTTAATGTGTATTTTGACACATGAAGACTCTATAACACTCCCTGTCCTTACTGATAGTCTGGTATTCAAGGAAAGAATAGATTTGGCCCTGATATTTGTCCTTGTAATTAATATGGCTTCTCCTCTCTCCAAGCCCAGGGTCAAATCACATTGTACACTTGCTCGCAAATTAGCCTAATATGCCTTGCCAGAAAAGTTGGCCTTGGCCTTGGTGTTGTTATTGCCCAGCTGGAAGGAGGAGTGAACAGAGCTGGACACTTGTTTCCATAGTGCCCTGTGGCGGTTGGATTTGTGTAATCCCCTTGAACTGAAAGGAAAGGTCAACGCAGGGGCAGTGAGGTGTCACAAGGGGCCCCTGTCTGGGAAACACCTGTTGTCTAGACTCAGTATGAGCCCACATTCCACTTGCTCCACCAGGCCTCAGTTTCCCCCTGGTGGGGAAGAGAGTGGGATGGAGCTCTGGCATCCAGGGAGCCGACAACTGGCCCACGGAGGAATACCCGGATGCTGATGCAATAGATCACACTGGGGGAGAACCCCAGGGGTATACCACGAGCCACAGTGATGTCCCTGGAATACAATTCGCTCTTCTTCCCTGGCTAGTAGCCAGTGCCCCCCACTGGTCATCCATTCCTTCCAGCCTCCTAGGCTGAGAAGATCAGTCATTGGAGTCACAAAGACAGGATTTGAATCTGTGACCTTGGGGGGATGCCTACATCTTGAACCTCGACTGCTCCCCTCCTGCTAGGTGCTGTTAAGGGGATTCTCTGGGACAGCTGTGTACACAGCTGGTTTCACCTAGGATGGCCTTGCCTCACCAGCCCCCCAGCTCCCTGCACCCTCTGTCTTCAGGGACATCCCAGTGAATTCCAACGAATCCTGGCCAGAAACCTCAGGGTGAATGCCCATCTGGCCATGATGGCTGCGGTTATTATTATAATTCTCAAATACTTTTCCTGTAATTTTAATTAAAAAATGTTGTATAGGAGCCAATCACCCATCTTCCTATTTCCTTTAATCCACTCAACTGTAGATTAAGCCAGATTGTTAAAAACTTGCAGCCAAAAATGAAATTAAATTTAAAAGCCAAATGATTCAAGAGTCTATCTCTCAAGAGTCCTTCTCCCCTCCCTCCTTACTGGAACATCTATCA